CTAAACATTGTTTATAAACAATATATATAAATTACCCCTAAATGATAACAATGTTTAATTTTTATCGCGAAAAAAATCTTCGCCGTTATCAATCAACATTCGTTTAATTTTATTTACCAAGAAATGTGAACAATTTTCTCCGTTTTTCTTTTTGTTTTGCTGATGGCAACACTGCTTACTATATCGCACTTTGTAATATGGTAAGATGTAATCGTGTGGGTAGTTCGTTCGTTGGTTGGTTATGTTTGGCCAAATGGATTGTTGTGGTCTCTTTAAGAAAAACATATTGCTGCCTTTCTGAGAAGCCCTCTTACTAAATCCTATTTTAAATTTGTTTTCATCTTGTTTGCTTGCCGTACTATATGGTTGTTGTTGTTGTTGTTCTTTAATTTTTTGCTTTGTTTTGCTTAATTCATTTGCTGATCGTTCGTACATACGTACACATATTTTCTGCTTGACCTCAGTTGGCAAGTTCGTGCTTAATTTTTCTTTTTATACCTTCCGAGACGAGCCAAGATAAAAAGCGATAACAGTTCCCCTCCGCTGAGGGTTTCTGTTGTCATTTCGCGTATCTGTCACCTCCAAGATATTGGTCTTAAAAGCTTTTTAAGTGCCTTCATGCATTAAGAGGATCGACATCGAATGTACGTACCCTCGTAAATGTTGGACATAAAAATGGGGAATAGATAGTTGTTGAATAGGTAGTCGTAGGTATACGTAAATTTGTTTATATGTTCATGTCTTCATACCTATATAAATGATTCTCTCTTCTTTTTTGGTTTGTTTTGATCGCAAAACAGGTATTGTGCGCGAGAGATGACGAAAAAGGCCAAAATCGAAATAAATTAAAAAAGGCAACAGCAGCCACAAATCATTTTGAATCGTAAAAAGTATAGAATTGTATTCTGAGAATTTTGTTTGTTTTTAATTTAAATTTATTAAAAATTAATTTTAATTTTGTTTAGCATACCTACACTTAAGAGTGTGAATGCTGTTGGCGTTTGTTTTTAGTTTATTTTGTTTTTAACATTTATCCCAAATGTTTAAATTATACTTTTTGTTTTGTTTTCCGAATTGTTGCAATTCTTAGAAATTATTTCTTGTTTTTATCATCGATTGGTATTCGCTATTATCAGCGTGGAACGTCTTATCGAGCGCAGAGTGGTCATTTTACGAATTGATTGATTTCATACATATTTATACTTATTTTGAATTGTTGAATTATTTTTGTTAAAATATGCACATGTATTTCTTAGAATGTATAATTTTTTCTTAAAATGCAGAATGTATAAATTTGGTTTTATAAGGAACTATGAATGGTTGATAACAGACTAGCCACACTCTTAAAGTGCAGTTGAAAAATAATATGTGGTTATATAAAATCTAACCTATAAATTAGGCTGGTTTACGAACAAATAAAAATCTATTGGTGTTTATTCGTAAAGCGTTATAGTAGAAAATATAATGCCACATATATATATATATATATATATTTTTTTTTTATCGATCTTTCCCACGCCTCACTTTCCCATCCTTGCCGACCGAGGGGACGAACTACCCTTTGATGGAACTCCCCATGATGGATTATGAGAAGGGATTATTAAGGAAGAGCTTTTTCTGTCGCTAAGTTTGCAAGTTTTAATGGACTTAGGTCTTTTTCTTACAACTTAACTATCATTACATTTTCTAATTACTGCAATAATTTAGATTTTTTACATGTTAATATTATCTAAAAGAGTAAAGATTGTTTTGGAATAATAATTCATTCAAAAATATGAAAAAAACAAGTAATAACGTCGATATTTAGGCAGGTCGAATATTGGGGATAACGTTATATGGGCGGTACCCTAAGAAGTGGACCAATATTGATAAGTTTTGGTTGGTGACAAAATGAAAAAAAATAAGTATTTGTGGAGATACTCGCCTTTTTGGGACTTAGAGCTTGTTGTGTCGCTAAGTTTGCAAGTTTTAATGGACTTAGGTTTTTTTCTTACATCTTAACTATCATTACATTTTCTAATTACTGCAATAATTTAGATTTTTACATGTTAATATTATCTAAAAGAGTAAAGATTGTTTTGGAATAATAATTCATTCAAAAATATGAAAAAAACAAGTAAAAACGTCGATATTTAGGCAGGTCGAATATTGGGGATAACGTTATATGGGCGGTACCCTAAGAAGTGGACCAATATTGATAAGTTTTGGTTGGAAGGTGAGCTACCCCATAAGTACCTAAAATACCAAATTACAGGGAATTCGACTGAAAATCATGTCCAAAATCTTCAAAATAAAAAGTGGACTTACAGCCTTTACATGATGTTAAGCCAGCGACAACAATAACAAATGAGGTAACTCTATGTTTATTTTTTTAGATCGATGTATTTTGCCTCTTTATCGAAAATTGGACTTGTTACCTTTACAAGTTAAGCCAACGATATTCTTAGATTAAGTGTCTTAGCGACCGGGTTCTGTGTTGGCGATGGAATTAAATGTTACGATCATATGTTTTTGCCTATGTTTGGCTTGAAATGACATACATATATGTGGCATTAAAAAGTTGTCAATTAATTGAAACTATTTAACACTTTCAGACCCAAAGATATTAGTAATTTTTCTGGTGTGTTTGTAGAAAAATTGAGCCACATATTAAGTTCGTTCTAAGTAAATTTTTATGCCCATAAAACAATACTAAACCAATACAAAAATTAAATAAGTCTTGAATTAGATTAGGCGAGTTTACTTGCAGCAAGTCTTTGTTTGTAGGAGAGAGGGGCAAGGGGAATAGAAATGGAAAAAATTGCTCGTACCGACAATTTTCTGGCAATTCGTTTTGTGTATTTCGTATTTTTTGACATTTTATATTTATTTAAATGTGAAAAAAACTATTTGAAACAAATAAAAATAAAATTTTGAAACCGAATTGCCTTGTAGTTCAAAAGAGAACCATAAGCAAGTTCAAAAGAGAACCATAAGAATTGCCGCAAGTAAACTCGCCTAATCTAAATCAAGACTTACAGACCCTTCTCTTCAAAATTTTCACATCTCACAATTTATTAAACTGGATCTGAAACGGTTAGTGTAATGGAATGTTAGCAACCTTAGGGCCGCTTGACTACCGGCATATGTAGTCATCGGTTCGTTCTTTTTCGCTCTATTTATAGCATAAAATATTGCACTAAATACATTGGGATCACTTTTGTAAATTTCATACGGCTCACTTTCCTAATGGGCGATATTGTTCAATACCTGCATTTAAAATGTAGTTTTATAGTAATCCGATACATTTTTCTACGACTTTCTGCTGCTTTCTCAGTATTATATTTTCCGCTCAGGTTCTTATTACTGTTGTTCTTTTATTTTGGACTTGATTACGGATTTCATTCTACAAATTTGTTCATTAAATAATACAGCATTTGTAATATTTATCAATACTTAATACTCCTCCCTACTCTATAACGATTCCCCCAGTGCGCCATTGTGGGAATTTCTAAATCCTTAAAATGATTTTCAATTTTTTTAATAAAAAAAAACCCTGAGTGTATTTTATTTTTGGAAAGAGAAAAAACTTTAAACCTTTTAGTTCTTTATCAAAAAAACCTGCATTCATTCTTGACACTCTAATTGCATGCTTTGTAAAATTTACTTTCTTTGTCGATCTTCTCCAGCCAGCATTTTTCCATTGTGTTTTATCTATGACCACATAAGATGCTACTAAGTAAAATAGGTGGTGCCAGTTTCACATAACACGATTAGTTTTACGTCGCGTCTAACATTTTCTCAAAATAATATAACAGTTGTTGCTTTCGACACGCACACAGGTATTCAGTTTGTGGCAGCTGATATTGGTTGTTGTTGTTCATTTCTATTTGTTGTTTTAGCTTGGTAGGTAGTATTTACTTTGGCTATGTTTGATAACCAATTAGTAATGAGGGTTAAACGTAAATAGGCGTAGATGTTGGTGTGGTGCATATTGATAAATGCCCACAGCGAAATGCAGGTTCAATTCCAGTGAGATGTGTACATGTTAAAGTTCCTTAAATCTGGACTTATCATCGACCGCCAACGGCTTGGCATAACATCCCACTGATAAGAGTATATGGTACAAACAATTTGTCTTTTACTGAAAATCCTGTTGGAAGTTATATTTCCTAAAATTACGAGTTGCTAAAAGGAAAATTCACTAATCGATTTTAAATGCTCGGATGGTGTTCTTTGGCTTTGATATTTAAAAGTTACCTGCTCATGTCACGCCTGGAATTTTTGTATTCGGGTAATTGCTTTACTTCCGTTTAAATGTGCACACACCCACTAAAAGGATGTGCAGCAATTTCAGCAATTGTCAAAAGAAGTCACCCGAGGCGTTTTAGAATTAGTTGTGCGTGTGTTTTTGAACTAATAACGCATCCTGGAAATGAAAATAATAGTATTACAGATGAATAATCCATTGTTAATCGCAAATTCTTGCAATTCTTTTGTTCTGACATGACTGGAATTTCTGAATTTAATATAGCTTCTCACAGTAGCAGGAAACACACACACATTAAGAAGAGTTTGCACTTTTATTGTTTCATTTTACTATTTATAAAATGTGTTGTTTATATCTATGGGTTAATTTGCGGTGTGTTCAGCATATACCTGTCTATGTCTATTACACCGATATCAATGAACGTCAGTTGTTACTGGGGTGGGTTCGAAACACAAAGGTCATAAATCGCATTACATAATAAAACTAAACGTATCGTAATAATTTAGTAGAATCTAAAGGTTACATTACCACATTCATGGAGCGTGTTAGTCTGTAAAGAATAATAAAGGCAAAATACATAGGTTTGGTATATATTAAAAAGGTTCTTCATATTTCCATGTCATATTAAAATATCTGCGGGACAAGGTAAAGATGTCATCAGCAAATTAATTTTTTTATTTAACTCCCTGAATAAATAACTAATGGCTATTAAAATATATTGTATCTTCTTGTTTATTTATAGTTTATCATCATGGCTGCAGTTCTTGTTAACCGTATTCTATGTGATTCTGCCTTTTACCCATTGTGCCATGCACAATTCTCCGGGCGGTAAGTGTTATAAATTGTACTCGTATTGTTTGAAATTCGTACATGCAAATTTGCCATTTCGACCTTTTCGTACAAAAAGATTTCGCTAAACTTGTTTGTTTAATCGTAAAAATAAAATAAGCAAATAATAAGAAATATTTTTGAATTTTTTGTTTATCTTTATATTTTTCACACCTTGGTAGTCATGGACCTGCATATAGCAGAACACAAGCGTATGGCAATTTTTTGTTATTTTTTAACAGAATCTTGACATTTAAAAACAAGCCCCTAAACAAACGTTTTTATTTGCTCGATATAGTCATAGTTAAACATTAGCCTAGCTATGTGTTTACATTTGGCCTAACTTAGTTGTTTACACTGGCATATTTGCATATTCTTATTCATACGTTTTAATTATAATTACGAAAAAAATTATTTTTATTATTAGAAACCCAACCACCCAGACTGGAGATACAAATCAACAGCAATGCAAATATAACATGTCGCATGAATTTAATGAAATTCGGCAACAAAGTCAATAGCTCATCATTGTATTTTGTTGAAGAAGATACGGGAAAAAGAGTACCTGAAACGGATATAGAGGTATGTAGCTGTTATCTGCTATAATGATAAGAATACATTTAATGTTTATAAACTTCTTTTGCAAACAAATGAAACAATATCGATGTATTGGTAGGTGCTTAAGAACATATGCGTGCTTTTCAATCAATAAATGCTTATCTAAAAAAAATTAAAAATAAAAGTTAAAAAACACAATAAATAATTTTACATTCTTTTAAATTGCATGCATATTGTCGTTACATATTTTATAGCTGTGTATTTTAAAAGCTTAGAACAAATGCAACTAGAAGATAGCAATAAATCAAACTTATAATAAGGGATTGTAATGAATTACATGTGCAAAAAAAATCCAATTCGCAGTAAGAAACACTATAAATTGGGGACACATATTTTTTTAAATTGTTGTTTCAAAATGTACAATATTAAAAATTTTCAAAAAATTATAAAGAAATTGTCTATGATATTTATACCAAAAATAAAGTAAAACTTATGTCAAATGGTCATTGATTGGTGGATAGAACATCAATTTGCATATTTGGTATACTTCCATAAGAATTGTATTGGGTTTTTAGTTCTTTGTATCCCTCAAATCATGACAGAACGTTGAAGATTAAAAACTCGAAACTCTTTTTGGAAGTCCAATATCTTGATATTATTGTGTACCATCAATAAATATAGTAGAGGAATATGAAAGGGGATTGAAAAAAAATATATAATAGCACTGTACTAATAAGCGAAGTCTATTAATTAAAGTACAATTCCACAGTTTATTTATGGGATATATGACTAGTATTACTTTATATTCTTGCCATAACGTCGCTGTAGCAAGAAATACTTCAAAAACACATTGTTCAAACTCACCATCCTCTCAACTTCCATGTCATTTTAATTTGTTTTCCTGTTATTTATTATTTTTTATCTTATTTTTTTCAGATTACTGATGAAGCCACAATTACATTCATGTTACGAAATGCCACAGAACAAGATCGTAATTATGTGTGTAAAAGTGATGGCATGGGCATTGGCGTCACTCACGTGTCAGTCGGTAAGTTCGCCCACAATTTTCCTTCCAGTGTACGATAAATGAGAAATTGTGTCATTTTTATTTAAACAAAAACAAATTCACAAACTTTTATTATCGTTCATTTACGTACATGCGTCGTTTCCAAACCCAACAGCTGCCTAACGCATACCATTCTATTTCATTTCTGTTCACCCAGGTACTGCTCCCTTGGACGTTACAGACTTTAAGTGTCGTGGTTACGACTACACATATATGGTGTGCAACTTCTCCATACCGCACAATGTTATACTAACAAAATACAGTTTAAACTATACGGCTCAATCGGCGGTAAGTTGACAATATGTTAACATGATGTTTGTTCTTAAGTTTATTTCCCCAACTCCCCTCTCATAATGTAGTAGTAGCTCATTATTTGAGTTAGCTTTAAGTTACACGTATTTTTGTTGCACTGTAGTGGTAGTAGTAGCAGTTTTTAACACAAATTCAATATGCTCGTTTTCTAGAGGTTATTATGTATTAACATTGGAATTAGTAATTAATCAAATATTTACATATGGTTTTATTGATTGCTAAATGCATACATACAGTTTATTTATTTATTGCACCCCTTTTTTCACATTTTACTTATTTAACTTATAAATAGATAACAGTTGTAATGCGAATATAGCCTGTGTTGTACTTTGACTGGGGGGTTTCTTAGTATTCTGATAAACATTTTTATGTCGAACTAGAATATATCGATATGTAAATAACTGAACGGTCGATATCGAATATCATATTCTCTTGTAGTGATTGCATAAGGCGTATGCACGTAAAATCATTGAATATATTGGAGCAGTTTCCGTATTTCTTATCTAAATAAAATATTAATAAAGCATTTTAATTGATTAATTGTGATCTGTGTTTTATTCCTTTTTGCGATTTTTATACATTTTACACGACCTTTTCTAAATATATTAATTTGTATATACATATACGAAATTGTTTATAACGACATATCGGTTATAACGACTTATCCCATAGTTCCGAGAAAAGTTCTGCCCTATATTTGATATCGTTTAAAACGACATATCGCTTATAGCGATCAATTTTGTCGGTCCCTTGACCGTTATAAGAAATTTCAAAGTACATTATTTGCGTTTTGCCATGATATCACTTTCAACAGATTTTTATGTTCAACAGTTATAATGCATATTTTTCACAATGTTCATGTTTCAAAAAATTATACTGTGTATTTTAGTCCATGTTATTGTTACTATTTATATTCCAATAATATGTGACAGCTTTATCCATCAAGTTGATAATTAATTTTATGTATGAAAACGATACGGTTTTCCAATGAATTCAAATAAAATGTCCAGCAACCAAATTTTAATAAAATTAAAAACAAATCCCGTACCAAAATAACTGTGTTAATTTTTTTTATTGAATTCACACAAATATATGGATTTCTCTAATAAAAATTTCCATAATAAGTATTAATAAGCTAACTTCGTTGGAAGAATTAATCAACTTTGGTGGTAATAAAAAAATAAAACCATCACTTGGATGGTCGTTGAAACAAGCAGAGTTGTCTGATTAGACTAACATGTGCTACTCTATAAGGTTGGTTGGTATATATAATATACGAGGACCGATTCATAATTTCATTATTTTTCTAACTTCAAGTTCTTGATGCACAGAATATATATGAAAATTCAGTATAGATAGAATCATGCATTGTAGAAAAGGGTAATAGTTTAGGCATAACACATACGGGCGAGCCCATAAAAATAAAATTTAAAGCTAAAACACTAATTTTACATTTCTCCGTTTTAAGGGAACCCCCCCCCCCCCCCCCATTCTCGATTTTAATTTTTCAAGATTTTCAATGGGCTGGTAAATCAATACCAACGCTTGTTAAGGTTTGTAACTTTGCACATATATAATTGAAGATTTAAAAGAGAAGAAAAATAATTTACAAAAAATTTTTGTTATTGTTTTGTTGTTGTTTTTTGTAATTAAAGAAAAGTCCTTATTTTTGATGGCGGGCATGATAACTCCTCACTGGAACATCGGAATCCAAAAATTTCAACTGTGTTAGAAAGAGTACATGTCTGGCTCTCGTATGAACTAGGATTATTGACTTCGCTCTAAAATTAACAAAATGGTGGACCTTTGAAAAAATATTTTTGGAAAATCGCCGATTTTTTACCAAAAACTAAGTTAAAAAATAAGGAAGATCTTCACCGATTGGCTTTATCCTAGTTCATACGAGAGCTATACACTCCCAGAGAAACGTTGCAAAATTTGGAACCGATTGGATTATTAGTTGTTGAGTTATCGTGCCCGCCATTCGCAAAAAAATGTTTAGAGAAAAACGCGTTTAAAGTTTGAGAAGCCCTTCAGCCGTCACTTGATGCTGACACAATAAATCGGCTATATCTTCAAGAGTTCTTGAGATTTTCACTTGAAATTTTGTAGAGACATTTTTTAATCAGTGTAGATTCGAATTATATCAACAAAAATTTTGACCCCGAGAAGGGGGGGGGGGTCCCCTTAAAGTTACATAATGAACAATTTATGTTTGATTGTAGTTTTTTTTATAGCTAACCATTAAATCATTCATTTTTCAAAAATTAAAAATATTTATTTCTCATTGACAACATTAAGCCATTTAAAAGTTATATTATTTTTAATTTGGTATATTGGTATATAGAATAATGTTGTAGGCAATAATATCTGCATATTTGATTAGCAAAAAAAATGTATTATATAGCAAACAAAGAAATGATTATCAAAATTCTTCTATATACCAATAATTAAAAAAACAAAAATTAAATTAATTTGTTTATAACTAATATGTTGTTCTTATTTTTAATCTTTTTTCTTTTTACATATTTTGGGATTATTGTGCATGCTAATATTTCGCTATTTTTGATGTAACTAATGTTCTTTAACAATATTTGTACTAATAAAAAATAACACTCTACCACTATCCACATTGAAATTCTATCGTAAATACATTCCCTAACGCACCGAACTTATCTGCGGCTACTAACAACAATTTCTGTGATAATAAACCAACCACCACTCCATGCACCACCGCATTACGTTCGTTCGTCCGTCCGTTCGTTCGTTTTCAATCAATTAACGTTTGGACTTTTGTATAAACAATAATAATAATTACAAACACCACGAACACGAACACAAAAACACACATACATGTACACACATGTGCCTACACATGACAAACAACAATTTGCAAAATAAATGAATGAATGGATATATATTTGGACGTTTGGGGTTGTGGTTATATACTCTGCCTTATTTATCAATTAACATCAACGTGAAAAATACAAACAAAATAACATTATTGGATTTGAAATTGAAACACTTACACATGCATGATTTTACTACTATCACGGGCTTTTCTTCACTTCTATCACTGCTACTTGTGCTCTCTTGAAATGTGCACTCCTTTTGTTTGGCACACACCTACAAACACACAAACTTGTAGTTATATCGCACCTATTATATGGACCAAAGCGGAAAACGTGTTTATCGTACAATTTATTCACAGAACTATATACAAACATGTCCTCTGGAAATCCAAGAGAAACAGGCAATATGTAATTTGACAATGGACGAGAATAACTATCAGAAAAATCATGAATTCTTCAACTTTACGTTGAGGGGTGAAAATGGTGTGGGCACAAATGTGCAAACTTTTTGGATTAATAATTACGAAAGTGGTTAGTATTGAAAACAACAAAAATCGTAAAAAAAAAATAAAAACAAGAACGCGATTCTAATGTGTAATAACTCCCAACTTACAGTAATTCCGCCAAGGCCAGAGTACACGTTTGAGGATATAACATGTCATTCGGCCATTATCAAATGGTACAACATCAAGTACAGCTATTACAAATCTAAGGGTCTACAGTATGACATTCGTTTGCGTCCCAAAGACGGCAATGTTGATTGGATGAGCCATTCCAATTATGAAATACGTCAAAAACAATCTGAATTCAAGATCATCTTGCGCGATATACCATTTGCGTATGTCTGGTATGAGTTAAGTGTCCGAGTACGTGTTAAGAAGTCGGCACGATTCGATGATTCTTATTGGAGTGAACCATATATACAGAAATTTCGCACAGCAGCTTGCCCGCCGGATGCCGCACCACTTACCGATAATGGCAGTTTTTACATTGTTCCTACACAAACACAAGTCCGTCTCTATTGGCATCAATTGCCGGAATATAAAATGAATGGTCCCAATTTTACTTATGTCATCGAACAAGTGAAAATTGACGGTACCAAAGTGTAAGTTGCGATTTACTTGTATGTCATGAGCATTTTTTTCATATTATTTGTATTTCATCACTACAGTTCACTAGAACCCCTGGAAATAGATTTGATTTCAGCCAAATTTCCCTGGCATCGGCAGCATCGCTATGAATTTGTTATCAAAAGTCGCAACTCGGAAGGTGATTCGCCAAACAGTAGTATAATTAATATTCCGGTCTGGTCAAAACATGATGCAAGTTTGACCTCACCGGAATGGATAAAAAATGTATACGATTCGGTAAACCGAACATATAAACTGTCATGGGGTGCACCCAAAAGGAAAGAAGGTTTAGTAGACTACACCGTTTTTTGGTGTCAGTCGAGGAAAGCCACGCAGGATGAGTGTAAGGTATGTTTGTAGTTTGGAGACAATCTCCCCTAGTCAGGACGCATCTTAAAATTTCGTGATATTTACATTTTTAGGGTACTATAAATTTTGCACATGTAAGCCGCGATTCCACGGAATTCATTGTGACACCACAAAAGGACGACCAGAGTCTTAATTTAGCTGTGTCGGCGAATTATCGTGACTTCAATTCAGGTATGCATTGGATGTGTGCGGCTGATATAACAGCCGATCTGGGCAAAATGGAACCAGAACTCATGTCCATTTCATCGCGCTCAATAACTATTCAACTGCGGTCCGATCACATATGTACATCATTGCTGGAAGGTTACAATATTACGTATTGTCGTGTACATCGTCAACATAACAATATTGGTGATAAGGTTGCGTGTGCCGACAAACCCATAACCCATACCATACTCGGAACTGCCAAAAAGTTTGTAATTGAAAAATTGAGACCCTATTCGGTGTATAAAATTGAATTGCTTGTTTTCTCGAAATTTAAAACTGGCAAAATGAGTGATCCGCTGATTGTGCAAACCCACGAAGAAGGTAGGTTATTATCTTAGTTATCGGTATTGTATTGCCATGATTCTAAAATGCCCATCAATTTGTTCTGTAGCTCCCTCCAAACCTTTACAACTAAGAGCCCACAATATAACCAGTAGCTCAGCGGTCCTAACTTGGCTATCGCCAGAACATCACAATGGCAAACTAACCAAATATAGGATAGAGTAAGTATTTATCTAATTTTACCTTCAAGGGGAAAGGAAGGCAAGCAATAAATCATATTTGTAATGTTTTCCCTTTTTCTCATTGCAGATACAACAATGAAAATCATATCATTGATTGCCAGTTGGATAGTTCCATTTGTTCGAAAAAGGAAATGACGTTTACTTTGGAGAATTTGAGTAGCTTTACTAATTATAAAGTGTACATAGTGGCATATACTAATGCTGCACCTTCTGAGCATAGTAACGACATTAATGTCAAAACATTGGTGGGAAGTAAGTTCTAAAAGCAGAATATATCGTCAATTACGACTTTGTAATTAAAATGTATTGCATTATCTTGCAGTTCCCTCGAATCCAAGTCACATAACTGAGACGGCAAATATTTTGCAATGGTCCAAACCTGAGGTTCCTTCGGGTCGTGTAGAGTTCTATCAGGTGGCAATAATGGTTTGGCACAAAGATGTTATACAACGTCAGTATATTTCCAATGTTGCAAACACCACGTGCAAGTTCAATCTGCCAGTTTGTAGAGATGCCGATCAACGTTTCACACTGCAAGTGAGAGCTGTTAATGTGGCCCTACGTGAATCCGAAATCGATCAGTATATATTTGCTGCAAAGAATTCAATGGATTCTGATTATGAGTTATCACAAGACAATGGTTATTTTGGCGATAATGAAGATTTGCGATGTGAAGATGGTGGCATGTCGGAGGAGAAGGAAAGAATGATACGCAAATATAGCGATCAAGAGAAGTATGTGCTGTACAAATCGGTATGGGAAAAAGGCCCTGTGACTAACTGTTCTGACACCAAATTAAGTCGTATTACCATGTTGGCCTTGTTGGTGGTCGTTTCTTCGTTGGGTGTATTGGCAGCTTTTTACGTGGCCCGTAATAAATACCAAAAAATGGCAAATATATCATGTGCCCTACCACCAGGTTTGGAGGCAATGGCATATCCAACGAAAGATGACGGAAATGACTTCCGTCGCAACAAAGATTTCTTTAACACCGAAAGTCGCCATCTACTTTCATCAATAAGTAATGATTTTAGTACCATTTGTCAGAATGGAGACCATGTAAACGTCGATGAAGGAGGTATTGATGGGTTGACATCAGGTTCGTTGGGCAAAAGTAGTGGTTACATTGGTTCCGACAACTCTACCCAGTACTATGATGTAGAAACGGTCAGGGCTGATGATCATCACGACAATGATGTACTAGACCATCAAATGTCCACAGTAGATGATGCTTACATGGTTATGGAGCGTTTGAAACCAACCGACAGCAGTTTAATAATTCCACCTTCGTCGACTAGTACACTCGATAAAATGTTGTTACAGTCCGGCAATAATGGTGGATATGTACCGTCTAATCTTTTGACATTGAATGGAAAGCAAAACTCCGAATTGCCTCCATCATTCATACCAACAGAAAATGGATATATAAAACAAGTATCTGGATTGAATAGTCTAACAGCAGATCGTGCTGCAATAATACCGTCACAAAATGGTTATGTAAAACTGCACGACATATGTAATCTGTCGACACCGAAATTTGCAATGTCACCAACATCAGCCAACATAACACCACAAATGTCACCAATACAAACAGTTCCTACAACAATGGGTGACATACCAGTAAGCAGTACGGGCTATGTTGCACCACATATGCTGCAAAAGGTTTGTAAAAATGTATATTTTTTTAGTACATCCCTCTGTAAAGTTATTGTATATGAGAATATGATATATGTTCCACGCGGAATGTACATTTCTTCTTCGGAGATATCCTATTATACGCCATTGAGTGTTCGCTCTTTTAGTGGCCAATGATAATCGCCAAAAACTGCAACAATTGTATTTTTTGATTTATAAATGGAATTATGAAATTTACGGTATCTTAGTAAATATTTAGTTCAGTAATTACTAATTCATTGTATGAATTCGTGCTTTATAGTCATGTAAAGAATGTAAAACATGAAGATGTCTAGATATTTTTTAAACTTTTATAGTAAACAAGAACGACATCACTCATTCTGAATTCATTTAGCTCAACATTAGAAATAAATATTTCTTATAGTTTAAATACGAATTGACTACAATTTTATTGAAGGCAATTTTTTATTGTCACAATTTGAAATTTCGTTTGTGATAGATGAATGCCAAACTACCTACCAAAACCTACAAAGCTCTGCTTATGTGTACAAATCGCGGTCATAACGTAATTGAAATGTCCAAATAGTAATAAAATGCAAATTAAATTGTTATTTCACTTGAAAATATCTAGCAATTAAATAACGTTTTTTGTTGTACCCTTCTCTTTTACAGAATTTTATACAGCCATCAAGTACAAATGGCTATACAACACTGGAAGCACTTAGTAAAACAATGGTTCCGAGCCATATATCACAGACTGTGATTGGCGGAGGTGGGAATGATGGCGGAGGTGGCATGGCGAATATGGTGCCGCCTATTTCAGGCTATGTTACACGAGATGAGCTGAGAACAGCGTTTGGCCAGCAGCCACAATTTAATTAAGCTCTCTAAAAAAACTTCATCAGCACAATTGTCTAAATTGTTTTCTATATTTTAATTCCTTCTGTACAAAGTGAGATTTTATTTAGTAATATAAAGCTATACATATATACACATTTCATAAGTTCGTTCATGTGAATAAGATATCATTCGACCATATATTCATCATTTCATCTAAATTAATTTTTTTAAACATTGTACAATCTAATCATAGTTAAGTTTTCATTCATGTCTATATACGAATACTATATAAACTTGTATTTGTTGTTGTATATTGTAATTATTATTAGTTGTAATTGTAAGAGAAAAACAGAAAGTGCCTTCATTGTTCATCTCGCTCATCATTAATATCCACAAACATTCATACATTTTGCATTGTAATACACCCAGTGTATTTGGCAGCTAGCTGAGTCTAATTTAAATTAACAGAAATTGTTAACGTACATGTTGTGTACTTTCGTCACAGTATCTGCTTTACAGGATTTTAATTAATATAATTATTATTATTTAATTTTAAGTTTATTTTAAAGAGATAAAATTTATATATGTAACACATTAAACAAAAATACACCAGCACGTCAATAGAGTAGATGATGCCTATGTTAGGCCAATTTGTAACTATTTGTTGTATTCCTACATACATATTGCATATTAAGTATATTATTAATCAAAGTGTATTAGTATTTTTAATATTTAGCTTTTAAATGAAAAGCAAAAAAGAAAGCAAAAACACGTTTAACATTGTGGCCTTAAAATAAAAAAAAAAAAAAAAAAAAAAAACAATATTTTGTATAACGAAATAAATATTTAACAAAAGTATAAGCATTTTTACACTTTATTGACTTTTTTCCGCCTCACAGTACTTAATACGAAGTTATGATAAATTCTTGTATATTACGAGCCTATATTTATTTGGTAACATAATCTAACATTTTAATAAAAATGCGATATTGTAATGACTGTATCATGAATTTCTGCTAATGGATCGTCCGTTCAATAAAAAAATGAAGTTATTCCTAATTTCCAAATTCTAATTTGACTAGAAGTGTACTTTTCCAAATTTACACATTCTGGATGTTGATACCGTGTCATTCGAATATCTCTTGTAACAAATCAAAGTACTTACGTTACCAGCGATTCCACCTCACTGAGAAGTTCGGTGGTGACTTTCCTTGTGGTTAACAGGGTATACACAGCTCAATCATGAATATCAAATCCGTAAGGAATTTTTTCTTTTCATTTTCCTTCTATCGTGAATAAATATCCGCAAGGAAAATCAATCCTCACGGAAAAAGTAGGTACCATGAACGCTTTCAAACTTGTATTCTCCTTCTGAAAAAATTGACAGTGGTTTGCAAAATTATTTTAATGATTCAGGCCTATTTAGAACGATATATGATGTGGGTAGGATAATCGTCCTGAGTCTATATAATTTTGAGACAATGTCACTTTACGACGACGTCGACACCAATTTGGTATTCCGCAATGACGTCGACTGACGTCGATAAAAAAGAACACACATCTCGAATATTTGTGTCAACTGATTTTCTGCCATGTTCTGACGTTTTGGATAGCACCTCATTTGAAACGAGGAGCAGGCCAATGTTCCTTTCGAACACCATCAAAATGGTGCCAAACGTGTCAAATATTTGGGAGTAGCAATATATGGGGGCTATATAAAAACGTGGACCCACATATCCTTTTTTTAACAGACTGGCGGACAGGCAAACATGGTTAATAGACATAATATCTAATGTGAATGAAATACCAAAACCTCCGTCAAAAACATTTATTATAACATAAGGTCTCATAATGTTTCTAATTCACAAATTATTTGGCTACAAAACCAACTGAAACTTAAAATTCTAAAAATGTCAGATTTAGAAATGGAAGTTCCAAAGATTTCACTTGACCGCTTCCTTCCCTGAAGGAAATGTGGGGTGTTGTATCGCCTTTGTCTACTATTGTGGCGACATGTCTCCATATTTTCTACAACTTGTCTACATATCATGTAATAAGAAGAAGCATTTGTTATGTTAACAACCAACTGAGCATGGTTATGCTTCTTCTTTTTTTCTTTAATTATAAATATGTTGGCGGCAATAGACAGATATTTTGTTAAAAACGCGAGTTTAAAGTTATTAATGGTAATAATTAAATTAATTAATTGGTGAAAAATTTTTTGAGCAAAAGAAATTATAAAAAATTTACAAGTGACATATGTGACCTTTAGTCTATATATACAAACTATTGACTTACTACTGACCGTGTCCACATATGCGACGCTGTGTCTATATCTAAAAACTACTGACTTACTACTGACCAAGTCACTAGTTCATTTCCAATGACAAGCACATGTTAAATGTCAATAGTAAAATGCATTGTGTTGGGTATAGTCGGTCAACAGTATTGGTGACGATGTCAATAGTAAGTCAATACTGATTTACTGTAGACATTTCCTACAGGGTTCTTCTAAACACATACATAGATATTTCAGTTTAATTCCTCCATTTATTGACGATTCGGCCGGTCGTTCACTATTCGACAGCATGACTCGTCATATGAGTATTTGGCATATAGGGGTCGCTTGATATTAATGATTTCCTCGTAGAATATTAACAAATAGATGTCGCTAAGTTATAACAGTGGTATGCTTTGTCACTATGTATCAACACAATCGCCCTTATTCTATTTGACGTCGTCGACATAGTTGTTAATTTTGAATTTGAATAAGCAGAACACACATCTCCAATATTTGTGTCAGCTGATTTATTTTGTTTACAATTCTCGTCGAAAAAATAATGGATGGAATAATGAAAAAAAAATAATACTGAGAAGAAGACTTGTGGGGCAAAAATTTTAAATCTTTAAATATCGGAAGAAAAATAAGTATCTATTTGCAAAAACAGAGTTATTTCTTGAAAAGGTTTGCAAGCAATTTTTAGAATGAACAAGGCAGTACTTAGGTACGTGTTGGGTAGCACCTCATTTGAAACGCGGAGCAGGACCACGTTCCTTCCGAACACATTCAAATTGGCAGCAATGTCTCTAGTCAAAGGGTCGTGCGGGCTGAGTATTGGAAACGATTTGAAGTTGTGATAGTCACAACTCCCAGTCGTGTCGAAAATAATGTCTGAAGCGCTGCAAGGAATATTTGTCCATAATGGATAAAAGTCGAAATGACAGAGACTTAAAAACGGAAGCCATGTTATAATGGCTTCATCAAATAGAATAAGGGATTTTCCCACCAAATACAATAAGGGTGAATGTTTTTTGTACCCATTTGTAGAGATGGTATTTATCGAGTAAATACCCAAGGTTTTGTCAAATACCCATTTGCGGGTATTTATGTGGGTATTTACTACATTGAATCGCCAATACAACATTTTAGACACAATTTCTGAGATTCTATTATCACATCGATTCAAAATGGATAGTTTTATAATACTTTGAATGCGTGGGTAAATACTAGGAAAGTAATTCTATGTATATCATCAAAAATAACTATGACTTTATCCTGTTCGATTTTGTACAATTCGCTGTAACAAAATTTTAATAATTGTATTGTGTGAGTTTTAGTCTAAAACGACATTTATAATTATTTGGCATATTGTCAAAAGAGTTGACAATTTAAACCCACTGGGTTAACGAAATCTAGTACAATGTCAACGTACTAAAAGAGCCAGATAAAATTTGATTCCTAATCTGGACAAAAAATATATTCCAAAACTTCCCACCATGTTATTAGAAAATAGTTTACGTTTGAACTGGCTGATATTAGGAAAAAATATAATCTAAAAACAAGTAACAACGTCGTTAAGTTCGGCCGGCGATCTTTCAGACTCACATAACAACGTTATATCATATAACACCAGGTTAAGTGTGTACTCCCATAATGGCATCCGCAATATTCGTATTTTGAAGGATATACAAGGTCGCCACTGCTGAACTGAATGACGTTTTTGCTGCTTATTATTGAAATGAGGCTGCCTTCTATTATTTTCCCATGATTAAATTGTCACATATTTTAGTTTTTATACGAATAAACTTAACATTGTAAATTTTAGGCGATAATGAAAAATCACCAATGAAATGCGAAGGTCTTAGTGCAAAAACGCACTGATATGATTCAACTGATACGAATTCGACATAATTTGTAAATTATTGCGAAGGATTTATAGGTGATAAAAACTTTCCTCAATATTAAATTTGTAAGTAAAAAATGCATATAAATCCTCTTATTATGTTTATACACTAGTTGACTCTGACACTCATTTCAGGAATGTATTTTGAATAGTCGTATGAGATTGATGCTACGCTCTTCGTCATTACGATGGCCAACGGTAAATACATGTACATACGCACGTATGCCCAACGTTATTATCTTCTTGTTCGTATGTAATTATCTTTTAATTAATATCTCGTTGAATGTCGAGGCACAGAAGACAAATATCCAATATATTGTTAGTGTCCAATACCAATCAATATTCAATTCTGAACTTGATGAGTATAACCGTTGCTGTCGTTGTCCATGTGGATAATCGTATTGTCATTCTTCTTGTGGTTAAAATAAATTGTCGGATGGCCTAGCATAATCAACCTTTCAGTTACTAGAACGTGTATTTTGCAGTATGTGTCCTTAACTTTGAATCTTTATTGCAGATCCAACAACAATTGTTACCGGAAATTAGTTTATGAAATCGTGTTAATAGGATCCAATAACATTTCAATCATTAAACATTAAATATTCCTTAACCGATGTGTCTCAGATTGTAATGTTAACGAAAAATTGGAAAGTAATTGATATGATATAATAAATAAAAGTGTAGCCTGCATTGCAATATGAACAAAAGTAAGGCCGTAAATGCTTTTGAAAAACGAATAAGGTTTTTACACAGCTTCAGGAGTTGGACAGCAACTTTAGCTTAAGATATAACTTTCAAATATGTTATTTATATATGTGAAGGGACGGGTTACGCACCAACTCCTATAATTGCGATACC